AGCAGACACACATGCACATACTTGTATGGGTAAAATAGACGAATCCATGTTTTCAAAAGCAACTTTAGCTACCCCATCCAGAGACACTCGGGTCCTGATCTTTTGAGGGCAGGATAACAAAAGGCAAACAGGAGAAGATAAAAAGAATGGAAAGCAAATATTTGCTGTTAGAAATAACTTTTTTGTATGCCAAATTGTGTATGCAAAACAAGAGGCATCCAAAACTGAAGGACACTTTAGATGCTAGTCTCCAATAATTTGATTTTCTGAGTAAAGATTTTTCTAGACCTGCGACAGGGGTTTTGTTAGGGTTTTGTTCAATAATGTCAGTTTATATTTAGCTTTCGTATAGCAGATAGAGAAAAAAAAAATCTTTGGTTAAGGTCTTTGAGCCAAGCATCTAGGATAAAATTTTCAAAAGCACTCAACAGTGGCTTTTGAAAACGGAATTAGGCTAGTTGCTGAGACAAGCTTTGAAAGCTACCCCCTACCTCCTTTAGCATTTTAACCGAGAGCTGATTTCCTCGGTTATGGTGCCGTTCCTCATTTTAGTCTCCCCATCTCATGGCCTTCACCAGTATCGCTAAGTCAAGTTGGATTTAAAACCAGGAAAACAAGCAGGAGACTAGGCAATGCGGGAGCTTGTGGTCATGACCTCCCCGGCATGTCTGCCGCCTGAGAGTGGTGTAGCTGGACACAGGGATGCTCCCTGGGTGGCTCCCACTTCCCAGCCAGCCTTTGTTCTCTTTGTGGGAGCACTGGCTAATAGAGGTGTACACCCTCCACCTGATGGTTAGGTGAGGCTATAATTACCTCAGTAATAAAGGGCTGATTCTTCCCTGCTCTGCATCTCCTTGGCTGGTCAGGAATACTTGTCTAAAGTGGGTGCAAAATGCTAACAGATCAGAAACATGACATTTTACATCAATGGAAATGACCAGGTGTAAGGAACAAAGGCCTACAGAACAATGCTCTCAACTCTGTTGTCCTTTAATTGAGTAGTTCCTTGGGCAATGACACTAATGAGACCTTGTTTCCTCAGGGTTGGATTCTCTAGTACCTAAATGGGATATGAGGTTTTCCTGGGGAGAGAGGCATTTATAATTTCTCCCTCCCAGGTAGTGTCCAATTTGGGTGGATGTCACGCTGCAGCTTTTCTCTTGGTGGGGACGCCAGTGGGACTTCTCTCCTCTTAGCTGCTCATTTTCCTGAAACCTACAGGAATTTTTGAGAGCTCTGCTCTTCTATTAAATTTGGCTGAATTTGGTCAAAGGGCTTAAAGTTAGCAGGGGATAGGAAGACAAATGCATCAAATGAGACAGCAAAGTCATAAACCTTTTTCTACTAAGAAGAGAAAGTTAAATATTAGTTTTACGTACAAGTTTTCTAGTTGTGTGGTAAACTCCTATATTTTTGCTACCTCAGTAGGCATGCCTGGCTGCAACTCCTGCAAGCAATATCAGTAAAGGGAGTATGTACAAACGAATACATACAAGCAGGGCATGCAGCTCAGGGAAGAGGCAACGTTACTTAGCCGGGTGCAGAAGAAAACTGGAAAGTTCATTAAATCCACAGAAGCAGTGATCACGTTCTCCAGGGACAGTGCTGACCGGACAAGGTCATGGGTCTGAACGGAGAAAGCAACTGAACAAAGAAGCAGCAAGAGAAGGTTTTCTTTGGGTTTGGTCCAGGACAGCAGTCACAACATGGCAGACAGCGGGATGCGTGCACCATAAAGCTGGCAATGCAGGCTTGGCGTTATTATTGACCTCTCTGGCGACAAGACAGCAGGGACAGCCCCCTTTCCTATACAGTTTTTAATGGCTCAGAACTGCTTAAGGCCCTTTAAAATGCATAAAACTTCTCCTTTCTAACACTGCTTTCTGGCAGGACAGACATCCAGCTAATGCTTTCACTTCACATGTTCCTGAATGTCCCATTAATGAGTAGGCACCGGCCTAGTGAGAAACCTGACATTGGCTTGCAGACTCCACATCCTTCATCGGATAAGCCACCACTGCAACCTAATACCTCTTCTTGTGATAAAGCCAAGGCTAAAAACACCGAGGGAGCACCCAGGCTGCACGCCTGGAATTGCAGGATAAAGCTGCAGCAGTTCCCCAAAACACCACAGTGCCTGGGTGGTGGAGAGGTACCACCTGCGGATGACACACCTCCTCACACTTAGCTAACCCCACAGAATAAGCAGCATATGTAGGTTATATAGAGTTTTTTACAACATTATAGCTGCGTGGGGAAAAGCAGACTATCCCCAAATCCACCCTGAGATGCCCCTCCAACTGCAGATACCATTTAACTTCTACTTGTGCACAAGTTTCCCAAGCAGGTTTTCCGACATGAAAAGGTAATCACGTCTGTGTGTTTGTGGAAGACAGAAAGCTGCACAGACCGAGGGCTGGGAGCTCTCCCTCTCTGGGTCTGTCCCTGTTGAACTCGTCTGGTGTGAGGTGGAGATAGAAGCAACAGATCCCAACAGTTCCGAGCTGTTACGGCCATACCTCCAAGAAAAGTCCAAGGAACTACCAGCGGACCTTCCTGAGCAACAGATCAATATGAAGCTTCGTTTCAGCTGAGCCGTTATTCACACCAAAGGCAGTTGTTTGGATGAAGGGATGAAGAGTGCACAAGTTCACCGGTTCTCAGTATATAAGCTCTTTTTTCCCCCCTCTCCTGTAGATGCCTTCATTATTTATGTGTGACAAATAAAACACGGCAGTTGAGGATGCTGAAGTGTATCTCAACATGCACCTCTGTTTCCTGTTATGTTCAGAGCCTGAGAGTGTGCACCCACGTCAGGCTGCGGGTACGGTGAGGAGCTGGCGTGCCGCTCCAGCCACTGCGACCAAAGACTGCTTAAGGTGTATAATAAAAGCCACTGCCAGGCAGTAGTTGATAAAATATGCACCTGCTACATGCCTCTTACCCCGCGTGACTCCAGAAGTGACAAATTATCCCAAGGAAGTGCGAAGGAGCTTCGTCGACTCGGATGAATTTGCTCTGCAGCATCCTGTGATACGTCATCGCACCTCAGTCCCCGTTTCTGCCATCATCCCTATATAGGGACCCACCATAAATACGATCCCGTAATGCCAAACGCAAACTGCATTCAGATGTATTGAATAAGAAAGATCAAAGACTGACTATTATAAAGCAAAGGGAGCCTAACATGTACCCTGCCTTTGACTGTTTCTTTTTTTACCATCTTAAAATTCTCCTGAAGCTTCTCTTACCATAAGAGGATTATTTACAACCAACAACTGAAACTACACAGAGAAAATATACTTAGAGATAAATATTTTTCCTATAAAAAGTAGGAGTTATTTTTATCTGCTTCAAAACAAAATCTTCCCATGGTTTCATACAGAAACCAAAAAAAAAGCCAAAACACACACTGTCCCCTCCAAAAAAAAAAAAGCCTCAGCCCACATCCTCCCTAAGTTTATCATAAGATGTCAAGTTGCTAGAAACATAACCGTGTAAGTCGTTACCACAGCTAACAACTTTACTGGGGATTCACATGTAGCTCTTTCCCCCCCTACAAAGTCCTAGCCAGATTTTGAAATGTGAGCGGTGCAGTTCAAAAACAAAAAAAAGGACGCGGATTTTTTATTTAGGATGTGTGCAAAAGTGGTTAATTTATGACTACGTCCAAAAAAAAAAAGTGGACATAAATATTTATGATTGGAAATTTCATTATTTAAAATTATTCTATAAATTTGCTAGTAACTCGAAGATGAATGCCTGCTGTACAGTTTGCAAATTAAGTACAATTATTTTTCTCTTCTGCACTTGAATATAACTCACAGCTAAAGTCATTTAAAGGGGTTAACATCAACCTTAATTAAATATTAAAGTGTGCCTGTACCTGCTGCTATTGTTGCCCTTAGAATAAGATATAACCTATTTTTGACAAGTTTTCATCTTTCTCTGTGGAAGACGCTACATGAAACCAAATCAGTGGCAAAGAGGAGGGTAATGAATAATCTATTTCATATTCCAGCAGTACCCAGAGCTCTGAGTGGAAAAATATTCAGTCAGATGATAGTATGAGGCTGCTGAGGTACCACATGACGCAGCTAATGTTTAAATAATAATAATAATAAAAAAAAGCGATAAACAAATCATTAGCCCTTAACAGTTGTTTAATGCAATTTGTTAATGAACGTAATGGTGGGGACTAATAATGAAAGAAAATAAAAACGTCTAAACAGGCGCCAAGTTGCCAGTGATGCTCAATTATTTCCTTGTCAAGTTTTTATGATTTAATGAGCTCCTCTGGGACTGACGGCTGTCAGTCAGTCGTGACTTTTTGACACCATTACAACTTCAAATACAGCAGCAGGCAGGCTGTTTTCCTCGGATTTGAAATACTGAAATGATCTGACAGGTTTAAAGAAAAGATGTGCAAAAAAAAAGGGGAGAGAGAGAGAGAGAGAAAGAGAGAGAGACACAGTTGCTTTTTCTTTCTTTTTCTTTTTTTTTTTTTTTTTTCCTTCTATGGGGCAGACAATCTCTGGATGCTGTTTGGTAATGAAAACCCAATCACAGAGGTCATTATCTGATGAGGTTTTTTTGGAACTGGCAGGTTTTTTTTTTCTTTATTTCTTTACTTAATGATAACCCTCGATGGGTTTGCCCCGCATGGGATGGTCAGAGCCGCACAATTTTGTTCACCATTAATTTCAGCCTTTGAAGCTCAGAGCTCTGAAGCAGCAGCAAAGAAAACCCCCCACCAAGCTGGCTCCAAAATAAGACAATCCAGTCTGCCTTAAACAGAATAGCAAATGGCCTCCCATCCCAGAGATGGGAACTGACGTCAGTCAAGCTACATTTTCTGATATTTCCCCAAAAAGTATAGCATTTAAAACCCTTTAAAACTTAAGAGTCCTTAATTAAATTGCTTTTGATTTTGTATCAGCATAGAATTAGTTTATTTATTCTGTGAGCGCAGCTGTTTAGCAAGGATGAATTTTGCACGCAGCACCATGCGTGCGTTTTTTAATTTGTCATTTCTCCGCAAAGGCTGGCAACATTAGAAACATTTTGCTCTTTGAGGTTTACATTTGTAAGCACTTGGATTTATTCACAGATGCGCTATAGATGCGACCAAACTAGTTCAGGGGAAGGCTGGACCCAGGGGTGTCACCCTACCTGTGGGTGGCTTGGGCTGCACTCCCAGTCGAAGTCGCTCAATCCCCACCAAAACGTGTGGATCTGCTGCATCTCACCCGCACATTTCCCAAGCCGGAGGAAAAGGGGAGAGAGAGCAGCAACATTGTGTTTTGAGGAGCGTAATGTCCACCTGAGCACTATTTTACATGTGGGGAGTACACGAGGATGCAAAGCAGGCACAGAGGAGTTATTAACAGGTTAGCATGAGAAACATAGCGATGGCAGGTTCATCAAAAGTGAAGATGAAGGCTTTGCGTGGCAGTCTCTCTCTCTCCCTCATTCCCATCTGAGTGGATGTATCTGATGTGACACTATGCCCTAGATTTATACTGGGATAAGGAAAACTAGCTTCCTTTCAGCTTTTTGCTGATTCCAGCAGGTGGCTAGATAGAGGGCAAAACCTAGTCATAGGTCACTGTTAAGATCAGTAGTCATGAATCAATCCCCATGATAGTTAAATTATTGAGGCAACGCAGAGAATGTCTAGGCAACAGACGGAGCTTAAGATTTCCTTCTTGACAGTTTTCTGCTTTACAAAATAGGCATCTCCTAATTTGCTTAGGAGAGGATAAATACCTTCTAATGCTGCCAGGCTTTGTCCTAATTTGCCTGAACTCAGCTCAGTGCCATCACTTGAAGCTAACGGCCAGAGCTCTGCTTACACAACCCTGAGTGCTTAATTTGAGTGCACGTTGTGACTGAAGGCCGGCCAGCCTCCACACTGCAAGCTGAACACCCAAATCTTTCTGTGTCCAAGAGCCACGTGATAAATGCCACACGCTTCACAAGGATGAAAGGAGAGCATGCCCCAGGAGGTGGTGAGGGGGGTCCCATGGCCCTGTGACAGTGCAGGGCCATCGAGGTGAGGAGCTGAACATGACCAAGCCACACTGCACAGAGCAGCACCTCCCAAAAACACGGGTCTGGATTATCCAGGTACTTTTGTTTCAATAAATATCATTTGTCTTGTGGATCCTTTTATTCTGCATTTATCACCACCTTTCAAAGTCTTAGCTGTGGCATCAGTACCAACATCCTTTTAGCTGAGTTACTTGTTTCCATGTAGAGAAGAGAGGGGATGTATTTAGGGCCAAAATCAGCTCCCAGATGTTTGCCCCAAAATCAACTCCCAGGGACAGCACAGCAAGTTGGCAGAGACCACAGGGATGCCAAAACCCTGGGAGTACTAAGGCACACATGAGAATTCAGTGCTCAGTTCCTACCTAATTTGGTGGGAGTCTGAAAGCCACCAGCTTTTTGTTTCTTTGAACATCTTCCTGAAAAGATTTTACGGCTTAAGTTCAAGGGCTTAAAATCCCTCTCAATTTGTAATATTTGTAAGGGATTGCATATAATGAATTGAAAAGTTATGAAAATTACTTTACCGTATCACCAGAAAATGACCTTTGCTGGAGTTGTAAGCTTAATTATAAGCGAAATGACCTAGACCTGTCTATAGGAGAAGCACAGCCACTAGGAAAAGAGAAACACGGCTCATTTACACACAGGTAGATGAAACTATGATATATTGTATCAGCTAAAAGCATGTATAAATTAACATTTTTACAGTTTTTGTTGAAAAAGGGGAATATCGCATCAGAATTTAGTACACTAAAAGTATTTCCAAGATGTGGTCTCAACATAGTCAGGCCAATATTAAAAATCTAGATTTTTGTTTAATGCACTGTAATCATGTATTTGTCACTGAACTATTACTTAGGGTCTCTTTTCACTCAACAATGAATAGATAAGTATCTTTATACATCTTCAATAAGGGCCTAGTGTGCATACTTATCAGTACATATATCAACATTGGAAGATTTAAAACAGATCCAACAGATGGGCTTTAGTCACAACTACATTTTGGGCAAGCGACGCATTACCATGATCTTGATGAAAGTGGAATTGTTTTGAATAAGCAGAAAAGAAAGCTTAATTTAAAAAAAAATGTTAAATAGAGTGTTGGATTCACATCAGATATTAAACATCATCCTAAGTTTGCTCTCTTTTTAAAACTAACAACTGTTCTTAACCAGGTTACGTCTATTACGCTAATTCACGTTCAGCAGTTAGTCACAGGAGACAGGTTCACTTTCTACATCATTTGGTCTCTGCTTTACTTATATTCTATATCACAGAAGGTCAGATACTGCTTGATATTCATACACCCCACATAGCACAAGAAAAGTGCAAAGACCCCTCTTCCCTCGCTAAACTCTGGCAACTTACAGGCTAATTGTCTGGGGTAGAATTTGACACACTTAAGTCTTTTTATACTGGAACAAGCCCTCACCCCAACAAATATTAAGATTCTGAAAACACTCAGATAAGACAAAAAAATTTAAGAAAAAATAATCAATCCCACATGCCATCAAATATGCCATCAATAATACCAAATATTTTACACCACTTGCACCTGAGTTGAATAGTGGAAAAGAGAGGGAGACTCTGTCAGTGCAAGAGAATGATTCATGTGACCACTTTGTCTTAATTACTCAGAACAAGCAGTTTGTTGCTGTTTAGAGAAGAACAAAGATATCAGCGTCCCCTGACAGAAAAATAAATAGCCATGATGGTGGTGAAGATGATGATGACTGCCAGAACAACGATCAAAATCCGGTTTTGGATGATCCTGAAAAAAAGCAGAAGAGACAAAAAAAACAGTGAATAAAACAAAATAAAGCAAAGTAGCAGAATATATATAAAAAAATCATAAAAAGAAACACACGGATAAATATCTTGGAGAAAAGACATGTGCCCACAAATTTAGGATTTCCTATACCATTCTGCGTATCTTGATTGTTTTTTACTTCTTTCAATTTCCAGTGCTTCCAAACATTTCTTTATGTAGCTATTAAATCCAACTTTTGCATCCAGGAAAGAATAGACTTTTCTTAATTATGCATACACATATACATATTAGAATAACTGAGATACATCATGTTACAATTTATTAACCTTCTAAGAACAAATGAAATAATTAGTCCTCAGTCGATGCAATCCAAGCAGGGTGGTCTGTAACAGTAAATAACATTATATTTTTTAAGCCATTCTGAAATCTTCACAGCTTTTTTTAACCTGAACAGAAACAATTTATTAATTTTCAAGGGATTTTACTATTAAGGTACAAGATTTCAAGGAAACACATGTCAACGAGATACTTACTTGTACTAAAATACCAAGGGAAAAGTATAAAAGATAGTTTTGAAGAAAAGGATGATATAAAGAAGCAAGTGTCAAACTGTGAAGCTTATGTTGTAAAAGCATCTCCTGTCTCTGTAGCATACCGTTACTTGTGGTAATAGGCAAATGTTACATTTTCTATGTAGTACAAAAAAAAGTCCTAATACTGTTCAACCATTTGTTGGGAGAAATCCCTGCGTCTAAAATCAGACACCACATTGCTTCAGATTTTGCCTGGAATTAATAGGTCAATTAAAATGAATACATCAACAAACAACAGAATTTGAGGCATTTTATGGGAGGATTCTGGATTGTAAGAATTCAGCATTTGTTATTCCATTCTCACAGAGGAGGAAGAGTATTTTCACAGGCTCTTCATGAAACAGGAACTTTTGCAAAACATATTTGTACATGAAGCATATTGTTGGAATTGGGGAGGTATAGCAAAAAAAACCCAAATAAAACCAATAGAAGAACCCTAAGTTATATTTATTCTTATTTCTTTTTTTCTCATGCTTCTGCAAAACAAAACAAAAGAAAACAAAAGAAAACAAAACAAAGCCTTCACCAACCAAACAATGGTAAGAAGAGGTAAAACTGTGTTTTGTGAAACATCAAACCAAGTACAAGGCTCCAACTTGAAGACAGGGAATGTTACGTGTTAAAATGAGCATATTTCACGCAGTGAAAGAGAGAAGAAACTCTAGAGAGCAGAGGGGAGTTTTCCTTGGTAAATGTTTTTCATTTGGATGCGGGTGGATATACATATAAATTATATTGGAATGTGTAAAGAAAAATGCAGTTTTAACCAACTCCAGCTCTCTCCTTGCTTACCCCCCACCTACCGAAAAAGCAGTAAATGGATGGATGAAAACTGTCACATCAGACAGACACCCTCCCCTGTGACACTCTAAAAGGACTAGCTCTCTATCCTCCTGACAGGTTACAAAATGATCACATTTGCTGACACGTCTTCCGCAAAACTGCTTTAGTGTTTGTGTCCACTTTCCTAGCAGGAGATGAATGGGCTGCTTTGTCCTCATTTATCACTTAAAGCTGAACTAAGATCTGCCTCGTTTATTTTTCCCTTCCTCACTAGAAAGGCTCAACCACAGCATTAATTCTTTCGCGATGACAGCTAATTCAAACTTAACAGGCAATATTTACTCTGCCAAAAGGATGAGGAAGAGAGGGGGATGTTTCTCACTCTCCCCCCCCCCCAAAAAAAAAAAAAAAAGGGAAGCCTGCCTCGTTTATTTTTCCCTTCCTCACTAGAAAGGCTCAACCACAGCATTAATTCTTTCGCGATGACAGCTAATTCAAACTTAACAGGCAATATTTACTCTGCCAAAAGGATGAGGAAGAGAGGGGGGTTTTTTTCCCCCCCCCCCCCCCCCCAAAAAAAAAAAAAAAAGTGTAGCAGGCTAACAAAATAAAGCTAATTAAGGGCTTTGGGTCCTTGTTGGTTTGCACTTCAATTTAACACCTGAACTTACAAGCTTCTCTTTTGTGGTGGGGTGTGACATTCTCTGCCAAACACCTGATAACAAACGATTTGCCCAGGCAAATGCATGAAAAAACAGAATATATATTTACTCACCCACCCTCATCACTCCTGAAAAGACACTCAGCAAAATTGAAACTCAGCAGTGAAATAGATTAAAAGCATGAAAACTCTTAAAACATTCAGCCTTAAGTAATACACAGTGCAGCTGGCTTGACAACCATTTTATTTGTGGGATGTGGGCCCCAAGGCATCCATAATGCTAATTTACAAAGGATTAACTGTGAGTGAAACTCGCTTAATCTAACACATAGTTGGGCAAAGGCATACATAACATACTGAGTGTTTAAATCAACTCCTCCTATCTCTGGCCCACTGAAAAAGCATTTCATCGACTGAGACTTAAAATTAAAGAAAAATAAAAAAAAGCACCAAATCCTCCAAATGCTTTATTTTTAATACTCTGGTGGTACACACCTGATTGCAAGATTATTTAATCAGTGTCCACGTCTTTAAAATCCTTGTCAAGAGAACACTGAATGAGGCATGCTGCCACCTGTATCTGCTAATTGAAGGTTCACTGACGGTGTGAATCTATGAAATACATATCAAAGTTCAATTTCTAGGAATCTGAATTAGTCTGCACAGTGCAGCAAAAGAATATCATATTAAAAGGAACAAATTAATCATGAAATAGGATGGATGTTATCAACAGACTCCTACACTGAAGCATTATATACTTTTAATATTCAAGCCCACAGTTAAAGATTAATTTTATATCTTTAAAAAAAGAATAACATCGAGTTTTACTGTTTTACTTTCAAGTGAGCAAGTCAAATTAAACTAACTGCAAACTGCCAGAAGGATGGTGCTAGGAGGAGAATGACAGAGCTGTTTGGTAGCAGCAGCACAGCCTTGAGGAGGGCTTAGCAAGCCGTGCGTGTTGAAGTCTGAGTCCGGGAGCTGCTGCTCAGACAGAGAACACAAGTTCTGGGTGTCAGTGCATTTCAGATCTCAAAGTCAACAGGCAAGGGTGACCCTTCAGAGTAAAGAAAAAATCAAGAGGAAAGGGGGTTTTGAGTGATCCAAGACAGTCAAGCCAGCTCACAGTGGTAGAACAATGGTTGGCATTGGCAGGACCCATCTGTAGGGAAGCCTATAGTACTGTCACAGCCAGACACTGCCAGTGGGTATTGCTCTAGGCAAAGCATCAAGGAATTTAAGTGGGGGAGGGAGTGATAATACCAAAAGGAGAAGAAAATGGGGCCTAACATTCGCTACAGAAAAATCCCAAAGGCTAACATGCTCGCAAGAAGCAGATGATAGTCTTTTATCTCTATTACACCTTAAATTCAACGAAATCTGGTGAATGAGGAAGCCCAGATTCTTCTTTGAAAATGCAAAGCGTGTTTACAGGGTAAATAATTTAAGAAAGAATATATACTTGAAAGAAGACACCCATTGAAACATCCATGGCTAAAATGCCTGAAGGCAAAACCTTGTGCATTTGCATGCTGCATTTTATTAAGTTAGCACACTGTAGCTTTAAAAGAATGCATGGCCAAATTAAGAGGAATGTGTGACTGAAACATCAAGGATTCCTCAAGTTTACATTATGAATCATAGTGCTGTTGATATGAGATGAATTAACCATTTAGCCGATGCAGCTTAGGCACTGAATTCACACCAAGTTCTGCTGGAGCCCGGCGCGCTCGAGCTCGTTAACAGCCAATGTCTACTGTTCCTTTCATACTCAAAACTCTAAGAGCACAAGGGCTCATTCTACTTTGAGTTAGAAGAGACGAAAAATCTGAGCTTTTAAACCAAGTTCCATCTAGTTTATCATGGACAGCAGCCCAAAACATTTGGGTGCAAAACCACATAGAAACAGTAACTAAAGCAGATGCGAGGGTAACGTTAACTGACGCATTGGAAGAGCCCGCTGGACTAACAATGCAGAAAGCGCATCCCACTCCTGTTGAGTTTCCTTCTGCTTCTTCTTTCTAAATGCCTGACCCTCTATCCTGGCTTCTGGTCACAGTGCCTAACCTCCGACCATTGGTGCGCTGGAGGCTCCCTCCAGCCACTGCCAACTTTGTGAGCTGACGAATGACACCGTCCACTTTTGGGGATCATTTCTTTGATGCACACAGCGACCACTGCTTTGGAGAACAAGTCCCACATCCATTACCAAACACTGACGTCCCTGGCAAATCAGTTCCCCCCACTCCCGCCATGGCAGAAATTGTGCTGCCTTTCCACATTTTAAAACCCAAAATGATTCACTCCCCTCCGTAGCTTCACACACACACGCAAACAATGGATCTAACTCTGTTTGTGACATGTTTAGATCTGCTCCGTATAAACACAAAGCAGTTCTCGAATAAGCTTTTGCAAACCTTACATTAAGGATGCCAACCGTGTTTAAACCTTTTTACAAAACTGCATTCATTAGCAGAGGAGTGCACGACATCTATATGGGTTCAGCCTGATGTCTTGCACATGTCTTAGTGCCTGATTGACCAGCATTGAATAATGATGCCTTGCCATTAAGCACTGATGGTACAATAACAATTGTCATGAAAATTAGCAATCGCAGTAACATGTTAACAAAATCCGGGATATAAACGAACCAGTGCAGACTCTGGGTGCATAAAGAGTTTTGTGTCCTTAACTTGAAATAATGAAGACTACAAATAAAATACTGCAAAAATTTCTTACAGAAGCTCAGCTCTGACACTGATACAAATAAAAAAAATACAAATGTCTTGGGGGATCAGTTAGCACACATTCATTACAACACAGGGCTTTATTCTTAAAGAAAGCATCTCAAAAAATAAGTGTCCTCAAGAACACAGACTGATTGATGACGGAGCACTGTCGAACAGTGTTTCACTGTAATACATGTATTTAAGATTTAACTAGAAGTGATTCCTATCAGTTTA